AGAATTCCCCAGCCAGCGAATGCTGGCTGGGGAATTCTGGGAGTTGAAGTCCGGACATCTTCAAGTTGCCAAGGTTGAGAAACACTGCTCTAATGGTCATAAATTCAATCACTGGTTGTAAAGTTACAGCACTGCCATAACATCGAATGGTCGCTAAACAAGATCTACCTCTGTAGCCTTGCCTGCATATTTGAAGTCCTTCAGGATTGGGCGGCCTATAAATTTAATAAATAGAATAGAATAGAAGCCACTTCCTCAATACTACGCCCCCCTTGCACCATGGAGCAGTATACAAGACTCTTGCTAAGAGCTATCGTTACTTGCTGTTTCCTTTTAACCGATGAGAAGATGGCCTAATATTAACCTGTAAAATACTGTGATACAAGGCAGAATTTATGCTTCCTTTAGTGATGGCAAGTTACCCAGATCCTAAGGTAAAGAATCCCAAACCATGACATTATCATCTCAGTGCTTAATAACTGGAATGAGAGTCTCATTAGGGAATGTAGTATTTGGTTTCTATCTGGCATAGTTCGACTTTTGATTCACCTGCCCTTGGAACATTCCTTAAGAAGGCAAGAGGATTATATCCAGGTACTTTTTGGCAAATCTGAACAAGCATCAGTATTATTCTTGTGAGCCATGATTTTGGCCTTCTGTTCTTCCACCGACCCTGTTTTTATTGTTTTTGATTCTGGACTAGCCAAGGCACGGATGGCCTGAGTATCCCCGTTAGTTATCCTGAGGTTGTGATTCCTTGGATGATTTCATGCTGTGCACTTGGGAGTAGATTAAAAGAATTTTTATTGTTCAAATCTTTGCTTCCTAAGTTACTGAACATGAATTGGTGGAGCCCCAACATTTTCGAACTGAATTCGTAACCTTTTCCAGGCTGATAAGGCATCAACTATTTTGTAAGAAAGGTTTTCGAAATAACTTTTAATTGGGACGTATACCCTTGTAACACCTGCGTTGTGAGGACTTCACTGTGATTGTAAGAGCTAATATATGATATATAGTGCCGAACAGATCCACGCCAACCTTGGTTGTCTAATAGTGTGCACATCTAGTTCTAGTTATTTCTTTAACTGAACATGGGGAAGGGTGGTGAACTTTTTGTACTGGCATATCCCTTGTTGGATGAAATAAGTAAAACGAGCACTAGTTGTCAAACTGTTTAGGGTAAACCTGGAGAAACATCACTGTCAAGAACATATTTGACAGTTAGCAACTATAAAAGATGTGACCCGTCAAAAGCGCGGAAGACAAAATCGCGCTCGACAAAAGCGCGCATGTGACGTCATCACAGCGTGACGAAAACATCGCGCTGTA